AGCTTCTTTAAAGAGGTTGGATGATATACATTAAAAAGTAAGAATATGATTTTTTACTTCACTGTATTCTCTCCAGTAAACATATTTTAGAAATTCTTTTAAGGAGATGGGCCTCTTCTTGGTCTTGACCAACCTCCTCTGGACACTTATCTCGTTGGCCCAGATCCTCTGGACTTTCTCCATCTACCTGGAATCGGTGGCCATCCTGCCCCAGCTCTTCATGATCAGCAAGACTGGAGAGGCCGAGACCATTACCACCCACTACCTGTTCTTTCTGGGCCTGTACCGGGCCCTCTACCTGGCTAACTGGATCAGGCGGTACCAGACTGAGGGCTTCTATGACCAAATTGCAGTGGTGTCTGGAGTGGTACAAACCATCTTCTACTGTGACTTCTTCTACTTGTACGTGACCAAAGGTAGGTGTTGGGAGAACAGCAGTGTTGCTGGCACCTGCCGGTCAGTGTGAGTGGATATGGAAATGTGAACAGAGGCAAGTCTCTGCCCCTCATGGTGCTTATTTTAATGGGAAGACATATCCAAGCATTTTCAGGAAATGGTGCTATGAAAAAACCAGTACAAAGGGGATATGCTGTATGTACAGTGCTAACCCTGTGTATAGGCAAGACTGCTATGAGGCACATTTGGGAAATAGGGAACAGCTTATATATACTATGTAAGCCCCAAGGCAAGACTCCGCTTAGTGCAAAAAGGCTAGCAGGTCCAGATCTATAAACCTGGGGATGTCAGAGGTCAAGTGCATCAGTCACACAAGGACATATAGGCCAGGGTGAGGGGTTTGCAGTGCATTCTGATTACAAAGGGCTGCTGTTGGAGTCACTTAAACCAGCGGTCGCCAACCTCTCAGACCTCATGGACCACCAGTTGGCAACCACTGATTTAAACCGATCCACCAGCTGCCAAAGCAGGATAGTTTAGAGGCAACTGCAATGGTTGGGAAGAAGTCATCAGTGGAGAGAAGTGGACAGTTCTCTTGGGAATAGAATGAGGGACTGCTGATGGACTGATGTTTGAGATGTGGACTAAAGGAATCAGGTGTTAAACTTAGGGCGTAAGGGAGTGGTGGGAGTATCAGAAACCAAGATGGGGGTCAGTGAGATGTAGTTAACTTGCAGTGAAGTTCCCCTCTTGGCTTTTTCATCTGAACAGCTGTGAACTGGGCATTAGAGATACTAAGATTATGCACAAAGTTATAAAGGAGTCCTCTCATCAGTATGTTGTTTTTTTCCTGAAAGAACATAATATCCCATCTCTTATTTTCTTCTAGTCCTTAAAGGAAAGAAGTTAAGTCTTCCAATGCCAATTTGAGGGCCCTCAAAGAACAAGGATATGAAGTCAACTATTTGAGATGTTCTATCAAGCAACTTAACACAAGACTCAGACCAAATGTTAAAATGAAAGCCAGAAAACTGCTCAGTGTGCATGGATTTCAGCAAAGCACTGATCATTCTATCTAGAAGACCTCATCAACAATACCTCCCTTACAGAGGTAACAAAACACTTGGGCCAATTACATAAAAATGGTGACATTTGATATTCTAATGTCAACAAGAACATCAAACCTTAGTTGGCCAACTCACAAATGGGTCAAATAAACTATGGCCTGTAAGGCCCTCGTGTGAGGCATGCTACGGCATTCCCAATCTGGAAAGATGTCCCTCTGAGTACAAAGCACCAAATTTACAAGCTCTGGCAAGACTTAGTTTCATGCTCACCTTTAAAATCAACTCAGGTCTTACTGTGGCTCATTGTAGTTCCACACTCAGCATACTTTAACCCAGTTACAATCTTAGGTCAGTACAGTTAGCATGACGACCATTTACTGATGAGGAAACATAGCCAAGCCCTTTTACCCTACTAGGTCTTGTTTTTTTGCTTTGTGACTCAAATTTGCATTAACACCAATCAATCCCACCTCCCTTTCACATTTTTAGGTGCTAATAACTAAGGCAATTTCCATCCCCAACCCGTCTTGAAGCAAATAAAAAAATGTAAGGTGACCACCATTGGCTATAATCACAATTTTTACGTAATAAAAAGCTCACACTTTATTGTCAACAGTGTTTATTTATACCTACAAAAGAAAACAAGATGGTATCAAAAGGACAATTTACAAACTAAGAATAGTAACATAGCTCTTAGCATCCTGTGCCGGGACATCACACATCTACAATCTTTCAAGTCTTAACGCAACAGGAATGTGTTCAGAGACCAGCAAGGACATGAATAGAGAGCACTGATCCCAAGCAAAAGCCACCAACCTTTGAGATGACAGAACTCCATACAATGAATTGTTGAGGGATTGGGGAGAAGCAGCCCCATAGCTTAATGTTGAAATCCTTTCCCTAAGTGAGTTTAACCATGACCGCATACCTAGCATCAAATGAGATCCTGTTGCCTGTGCTCTGAAGCTAAGGCTGACCCTGAATTGTGAGCGTCAGGCAGAGGCAGAAGGTTACTCTAGATACAGGACAACCCTGCTAGGTTCCAGCTGTGCTCAGGCCACAACAGCTTTTGGGATTTGGAACATGCTATTTTGACTATATGATTACAATATCCCTGGTGGAAAAAAGGGAGGCAAGCAACAGACAAACCATTTATTGCTGGCTTGCCCAGAGACCTTTCCTAAAAAGGGACGCTTCTCAGACCTGCAAGTGAGTATGACAGCCCCTCTGGTGGCACCTGTTTTGGAAAAAAAAATCAGAATTCTCATGTAGAAATGCCTACAATCGACTGGTCAGTGCCTAAACAAACACAAACATTTTTTAAGGAGGGCAAGAAGAGAACACTTTGGTTTAAAAGCACAGAGCAGTTGTGCCATGTTTCTCCCGTGCCCACTGCCCTCTTTCGGCCTCAACTTCTATTAAGGGGGAAAAAGAAGTTAAGAAAAAAGGAAGGAGTAGGGGAGAGATGTAGGGGTGGGCAAAGATCTCACATGCATATATTTCAACTTATGCTCACAACCTACCTGTATGTTGTATATTCAACCATAGTTTCAGAACCTCAGAAACAAATCCTTCTCTCTCCCTTAATTTCAAAAGGAAAACAAAAAATCTCAAGTATTTAGATATTTGGATCTTACAAATGAGCACACTCCGGCCTTAGCCAGAAATGCAGTGGCCCCTTCCCCCTTCAACTACACTGTGAATGAGCAATACTGATGACAGCATTAATTACGTCTGACACTAGATGACAGGTTTCTGACTGTCTGATCTCCCTGTACTGTTATAGTGACCACGAGCGCAGAAAAGTCTTTCCAGGCCTATTGCAGGTAGTCTCAGTGAAACAGTCAATGTTATCATGAACGGGACAAACTCACCTACCTTCAGATGGAGGAAAAGGAAAAGGGCTTAGGTTATAGTCCTCGGTACCTTTTTGTAAGCACTACCTACCTGTAGAAAGCTGAGTGCAAAAGGATGTCAAGGAAAATTTGCACCCGCAGCTGTTACAAAGCACAGCAGACAAGAGTATGAAGAGAGTAAGAGTTCTTTCCTAATAAACCCTTAAGATTCTTTATTCAAGGTAACTTGGCCAAAAGGGCTGAGTAGCTGGCAAAGAGTTGCTTTTATTCTAGCGCTATAGTTAAAAAAAAAAAAAAAGAAAAGAAAAAATTGCCCACTGAGTATACTGTTTATAATTAAAGGTGGTTTTTACACTGCAGGTGAATGCACTTAACTGGTTAATAAAGTAAGTTTCCAGCGAGCATTTATGTTCATTCTGCGAGCAGCAGCTGTCTGGCTGAAAATGAATTTCACAGATGGTCCCTGTTTATATGGGGAAGAAAAATAGGCAGCTTCCACCCAGATGCGGAGACGCTCCTTTTAGCCATTGCAATAAACACTTGGGTTTTTAATTTAAAAGATACACTTAAAATACTCAGGCTTGGCAATTCAATTTCTAACCTGACACTAAAATGATTATTTTTTAGTCACTGGGAAGGGGGAGGCCAGATTGGGAGACAAAACCAATTAGGAATTTTTCAAAACTGTGAATGCACTTAAAAAGCAATCAGCCAAAAGGACAATGGCAAAGCACTGTCTTAAAAACTCATCAGGCCTGAGGAAGCCTGTTCCAGCTTGGGAGACATTAAACCCGATTTTGGAAAACACGCGGGGAACTCTCTCTTGGTTTTTTAACTCAGTAATAGGAACAATATGAAGCACAGATGCCATCTTCTTCTGCAGAATTCAACCCTTTACCCTCCCCACCCACCCCCAACTCAGGACAACAAAAAGGACTCCCATAAAAAGGGCCTAATGCCTTGCTTTTTCTTTTAAGATGAAAAATAGCTCAAATATCCTCAACATGCAAGAAGTTGGGGGGGATCTCTTCCAGTCAGCTATATATATGTATTTTTTACAAAAACTATTACAGACTGGAACAATTTGGCGGGCAGAAGAAACGTGGCAGTGAATTCTAACTAATCTGCATAAAAGACAAACCACAATGGTTGGGGGGGGGGTTAAAAAGAGAAGGGGAACAGAAAAAAAAGGGAAAGACAGCGTTCCTTTAAATGTAGTAAGTCTGCACAAGTCACTACCACCTGAGTGGTTTCATTTACGTGAAGGAGGAGGGGGAGGAGGAGGAGGAGGGTACTGGTAGGCAGTCTGCCCCATGTAACCTATCATACTGGTAGCTCCAGGAGGCTGTGCAAACTGCTGTGACATCAGTGGCTGTGGCTGCTGCCCAGACCGGCCTAGCCCACTAAACTGCTGGCTAGAGCTCTGTGAACTTCTCCCAGCTGTGGTGGTGCCACTAGCCCCGTAAGTGCCAGCGCCATATTCCTGGGCTGTATAGCCACTGGTGCCATAAGCAGCTGCACCATAGGTGCCTTGAGCATAGGTGTATTGGCCTGCTTGTGCTCCAAAGGCAGAATTTGGACTTCCATAGCCACTGCCGTTAGCATAACCAGCTCTATCGGCTTCACTACGATCCCGATAGCTTGCAGAGTCTCTCCGGCCACCATCCTTTACTCCTCGAAGCCTCCGGTCACACTCATCCTGATACATCAGATTGGGGTTATTGGCTGAAGAAGCGGTCCGGTATCGAGAACGACCTCCTGATGAAGGATACAATGAATTTTTAATGCCAGACTTATGATGAAAACATAACCACATGTAAATGTTCTACTAGGTACAAAAGTATTCAACATTCTTTCTTGATATTTAACTAGCCCAGCCTCCAAATCAGTACTTTAATTTGAATCTTTAATGAGACATAGTCAAAAGAATGGTAAACACAAAGAACTCAACTTCCTATCCATTTAGAAACTGTATTTACTTGAGGATTACTAAGAAGCAAAATCTTAAAAATGTAGGAACAATGGCAAAGAGGTATGTGACTTACCATAGGATTAAAAAAAAGACAAGCAGCTAAGCTCATACCACCACGAAAGAAGGGACCCTCTACTAGTGCATAGTGGTTCTCAAGTATTGCTTTATGGTCCTAACTGCATCAGAAGCACCTCACAAGCTTTAGGAAAGATGCTCAGGTTCCTAGCTCAATTCTAAAGCTCAAAACCTGTATATATAAACCTCTCAGGTAATCCCAATGTACAGCTTAGATATGCATGCAATAAGCTGGGGGGGGTGGGGGGGGGAGGGATACCAAAATGGTAGTCAGGAGGTGTAGATTCTAGTATATTTTGATACTAATTTTTAGATCCAATAACTTTGCCTGCTCTACCACCACACAATGGTGTAAAATTAGGTGTTAAAGTAGCCATAATTCAACTTAATTTTGAACATACACCAGGTACTTAAAAATACAAAGGTCAATTTTATATTATCACAGAAATAATATGCTGGAAATGTAGGACCATCACACTGTTTTACTCAGAAGGGATTATAAAAACTATTAAGCACTGTCCTTTGTTACTGAGCAGCATACTTAATTAAAGCCTTCACAGAATTAAAAAAGGAAAGCACAATGAATACAAAAAGATACCTTGGCAGTACCTGGAAAACTCCAGGACTTACCCTTACCCCCTCCTCCGCCGCCTCCTCTGTGGTCCACCAGCTGCATCAGTTTGGGATTGATAGCCTGATTAGCTTCTTCCAGCACTTTGATCAGCTCCCTGGCCTGCTTGAGGTTTCCCGGGGTGAAGAAGGTGTAGGCAGTGCCCTTGTTGGTGCTGCGGGCTGTTCGGCCAATGCGGTGCACATAATCCTCGGAGCTGTTTGGATAGTCATAGTTGATCACAAACTTGACATCTTCCACATCTTCCAAGCCAGCGGTGAGTCAGTGTGTAGGTGGACG